AAGAAAAATTTAAATTTATGAAATATAAATAGTATAAAAAAGGTTAAATGCTTAATTTGGTCCCTTAACTTTAAGAAATGAACATTTTTGGTCCCTCAATAATTTTTTGCACTTTTTTGATCCCTCAACTATACAAAATGCATTCCGTTAGTCCTTCTGTTAATTTGAGCCGTTAACCCTGCTTAGGTGGCATTTTTTATATTTTTTTTGATGATGTAGAGAGCAAAACTTAAAAAAGTGATGATATGCATCCATGTCACATGCTACCTGGCAAAATCGCGCTAAATACATCCAAATGGATCCCACATCACCATCTTTGCCCATCAGTTACTGTTTTTCTTCCTTTCATGTTCGACAAAACCCAGCAAATCTAGGTTCGATGTAACCCAGCAAATAGGTTCCATCGAACCCAACTCGATTCACTGAACTCAATTGCCCAAAAATTCCTCACAACAACCTGCAATTGCCCAAAAATCCACAACAACTTGCAATTTGAATAATCTCTTAGCAAACAATCATATAACAAAAACAAAAAACCAGTTGCCCAAAAATAACTAACAACAACCTGCAATTTGGATAATCTTGCAAACAATCATATAAACAAAAAAAAAAAAAAAGTGGAGCTGGGTTCCGTCGAACCCAGATCTGCTCGGTTCGCTGGAACCCAGGTGGGGTTCCGTCGAACCCAGCAAACTGGGTTCAATGGCCTGCCGAGGAAGAAGAGGAAGAAAAAGAGAAAGGAAGAAGACGGAAGTTTTTTATTTTTTATTTTTAAATATAAATAATGTAAGTTGGTATGAAAAAAAAATCCACATCATGAAAAAAAAATCCACATCAACATGTTTTTAATTTGTTTTTGCCACGTCATCAAAAAAATAATAAAAAATGCCACATAAGCGAGTTAACGATCGAAATTAATAAAAGGACTAACGGAGCGCATTTTTAGAGATGAGGGATAAAAAAAGTGCAAAAAATTGTTGAGGGACCAAAAATGTGCAACTCACTAAAGTTAAGGGACCAAATTTAGCATTTAACCTATAAAAAACTAAAACACTTATAAGTTTCACCAAATATACTCTAAATCTTCATTAATTGGTTGAACAATTTATAGTCGACTAACAAAGTTTAATGAGCATGTGAGGTTATGTGATTTTTTTTTCTTCAGTTTTGTGTGTGTATATACATATATATATATATTTAACAAGGTTACAATTTTGGAGGAAGGGGGATTCGAACCCTAACCCGAGTTAGGAGATGCACTTTATAAGTCGGTTTATGATCGTTGGATTGTAAGGCCCAGATGCGAATGTGTATATATATATATTAATATTTGGAGAGGTTAGGATTTGTATCGAGGTGAGATAAATAGTGGGTAGAGACTTTCCTGCACGGGTTAATTACTTTCTTTAAAAGCTAGCACTACAGCTCATTATTCAATCTCCTTGATCACTCAATAGAATAATTTTCATACTTAAGTCTTAACTTCTTACGACTTCATAGTCTATATATATATATATATATTTTGTATTAATATTTTGTATTAATATTTTAGTATCCGATAATTATATTGGATTTTGATTAATTCAGAATTGAACTGCATCAAATCTCATTAGGAAAAACTCTCTCAATATATGTTTCTTCATTTACAAGACTCTAACTCGAGACTTTATTTAAAAAGAATCGAATTCATTCTACTCGGATTCATAGGTCATTAATACTTCATAATCTATATAGCAACAGTTATTTGATGGAATCTTTTGATTACCAACAAATTTATGATTATTTATATAGGAAATGATACCTATTTGGATTACTTTTTAAAGATAAAAAAGATTATGGAGAAAATTATTTTAAAACTAATTCTTTTAATAAGTTTTTTTTTAAAATTAAAATATTATATTTTAAAATATAAATTAAAATATTTTTTATTTTTTTAAAAAATATTTTATTAAAACAACATAATTTTAAAATAACTTTTTACTTTTTAAGAGATAAAGTGAATACTAACTTCATATATATATATATTTATAAATATAAAGAAATGTATAATACACTTTAGAGTAAATTCTTGAAGGTATGCAAATAATAAAAATATACATGATGCTAAACTGCGAACTGAGAGTTTGACAAAAAAATAAAGAAGAGTAATTTTGAATTTTTGATACTAATTTTAATTTCTACCTTATTATAAAAAATTGAAAACTTCATTTATTCTACCCAGGGGCAATACCGGAAATTGACAAGCAGAAAGTTGCGCGATGCGCACCAGGCTAACCTTATAATTGGCAGGTAGTTTCGTTTTTCAATAGTGGACAATAAAAATCCATTTTCGTTCCCGCCTCCTTTTCGCCCTACCAAATCAAAATTCCAGAATCACGAAATTCAAAATCATCCCCTCTCCTCCTTCCTGCGAAGTGAACCCTCTAATTTTCCTCCTCACTCCATCCTTGTTTCCTCCAGTTCTACTTCCTCATACTCCATGGAAACTTGAAAATCCAGTGCTTCTCCTTCCACTGTCGAGTAACCTGTAAGCTCAAGCTCCATTTCTAAATATGTCTGTATTTCACTTCTAAATTTGTTTTAATCATCTCATTTTCGTTCGAATCCTGATTTTCTTTTTGGAAATTTGATTTTCTGCTTGGTTTACTATTTCATAGATGTTTTGTTGCACAAATTCAAAGTAATTTATGGAGTGATCTGTTCATTTTTCGAATTACTAGCGTGTTCACGGAATTTGGTTGGTGAAGTAATCAGCGATCTGGATCTGAAAACTGATCGAGATCTAGGTTTTATGATTTTGAGTTTGTAGATAACTGGTGCGAAATATGGTTTTGAATGGTTATTCCTTTGAATTTGCTCGAATTTATTTGTTTCCTTTGATTTGAACTTGTTTGGCTGGTGAGAAAATATCCGAACGAGAAAATATGGGGGAGATCTGACATTAGCTAAGATGGAAAATTCAACTAACCTAAAAAGTTGAATACGGTTGTGTTGAAGCACGACTGACGACTTCATTTCTTGGATTCCGATATATATATATATATATATATATATATTGGTTATGTAGATACTTGATTTGAATTACACTGTATTGCATCTTTGTTGTTTCTTAGAAGCCAAACAGGGATTGAGAGTTGCCGTTTCCCTTTTTGTTTCTACATCTTGCCGATAGCGGAGCTTGATTTTGTGCATTTTTAACAGAGATTGCAAGCATGGAAGGTGATCTGCAACGGAGTCCACGAGATGTAAGTAGTCAAGATCCATTCTCAACGTTTTACTTCATAGTTATAGTGTTTTACCTCAGGACTTATCATCTTAGCTAATTTTGACAAATAATAGCTGTCGAGAACGAATTTTATTTTACCATAACTTGATGTTCATTGGAGTTTGGTTTTAGAGAATGATACTGAAACACTGAATCTCGAAGTTCCAGAATTGTGCATTTTGAATGTTTTGCTTTTACCATCACCATGAGTATGACATGCAGTTTTGTGCAACATTGCAATTTTAGGTCCTTTTATTCCAAGTGTTATTTGGTTGTGGAATCATTTGAATACTGAAGTTAATTACATGTGCAAGTATTCCACATGAATAATGAAATTGGAACTAATACTGCTGGGTTACAGTTTATTTGGTGTATTACAGTTGTAGTAAGTTTTGCAATTGTTGGTGTTTGATGCCTGGCCAATTGTTTTTCAGGATCAAATGAGTGACTACCAGAGTTTTTGCAGCAATTTTCATCCATCTAGCCAATCTAGGAAAATTTCAATAGGAGTTATGGTAGACTCATGTGCTAAGAGAAAACCTGGAGCAACGAATGCAGACGATGGTAAGCTGGCAGCTAAAGAAAGAGTAAATCCTAACAATGGAAATTCTGCAGGAGGGAAAAACAAAGGGGATGCTGTCACGATTACAAAAGAGAAGCACACAGAAGCTGCTGAGCAGGTCAATTCCCTATGGATGACTACAAGATCCTTTAACCAAAATTCACCTGCTTCCGAGACTGCCATTTTCCAAAGACGAAGTTCCAGTTTACTGGGCACTGGAACCGTGCCGAAGAAGCTCAGTGGAGCAAAGGATGTGCCAGCAACAAATTCAGTTCAGTTTTTTTCGAATCAGACCAGTAAATTACAGGATGGTGATGGCAAGAAGAAGTTCGATGGCATCACTTACAAAAGGAAAGGAGGGAAGAATGATAACTCACAGAGGGTGGAGTTCACTTTTGCAACTGCACAGCAAGTTCAATTCCGTAAACCAGATATGGCTGTAGTGGAGGAGAAAACAGATAAAACAGAAAATGGAAAAACTGAAACTTTGAAAATGAAACTTTGGGAGATATTGGGAACTGTTTCTTCCCCAAAGAATCAGCATTCTAATATACAGTCTCCTGAGGTTGGTACCAGTAATTTAAAACCAGAGGGAACCATGGATCACACAGGTGGTACTGCTGTAAAGCCTAGTCAAAATTCAGATACTATAGAAATGGATATAGAAAGTCCTGAAAATACAATCAAGAGACCTGCAACTAGATCTTTGACCCGAAAGAAACCTCCATCTAAAGTACAACCAAGAAAAATAGAATCTACCCAAAAGTCAGCTCCAAAAGAGGTGCAACCCAACAAACCTAATTCTAGATCGTCCTCTAAGAAGGAACACCAAGAAAGTATCTTCTGTTTTGAAGGTCAATTCGCAAAGCCTGATGGTGATGTCAAGAGGGGCTCATCTATTCCTGGGAGAAAGAACATTCAGAAGAAGATCTCTAGCATTGCACCACGTAAAATCAACTTTTCTAAGAAGGATAACGCAGATGACATTCAGGAAACAACTCATAGAAGCAGAACTCCAGCACCTCCTGAGAAAACTGCGTTGTTTGGTAATAGGACCAGAAGCTTTCATGGTTCCTTTGCTGACAGTAGGACGAATGCCTTGGAAAAGGTCCAAGAAAAAGACTCACTTCAGCCACCAGTGACTAACATAACAAATCAGCAGGTGAATTTTCACAATCCAGCATCACCTGAAAATATTGACCAGCAAGAAGACCTTGGTAATCCACCTAAAAAGAATGTTGTGGATCCAAAAGATGGTTTTGAAAGTCCAACTTTTAGGATTAAAACACCCATATTAAGCACTTGGCCCAGCTCCTCTCCAAAAACTGTACAGATGGAGCAAGCTGTTCACAGTCCTCCCTCATCGGAAAGAAGATTTACAATGGGGAATATCCGTAGCTTTAAGACTTTCCAAACTTCAAGAGATTGTTTTGAATCAAATGTACCGATATAGTCCCTATCACCTTGTCTATTTTCCAATGTCATTACATGATATCTACACATATCCTCTAAGCTGAAATATCTTCCTTTTTGGTTTTTTTGCTCGTTGAATGTCAGGATGATGCAGAGAAGCTTGCAGATTCTTTACCCAGGAGCTGGATGCCTACTACCGAGAAAAATGATGCAGAAGACGAGCTGTCTCACTCATCATCTGAAGAGAAAGATGATACAGAGAAGTTTATAGGTTCTTCACCCAGAAACCCAATGCCTACTAAGGAGAAGAATGATACAGAAGGTGTCCTGTCTGAAGCATCATCTGAAGAGAAAGATGATTCAGAGAGGCTTATAGATTCTTCACCCAGGAATCCAGTCCCTACTACTGAGAGAAATAATGCAGAGGATGTGCTGTCTGTATCATCATCTGAGCAAAATGACTCTAAGAGCTCTGAAGAAGGTTCACCCATCATTAAAAGTTTTGACTGTGAGTCTGCTAAAAAATTCCTTTCTTAAATAAGCACTATGCATTCTTTAAAACATCTTTAATCCCCAAGTTCTGTCTCAAAACGTGGATAAAAACGGGTTGCTCCATCCTGGAAATCATGTTAAAATTTTGCACTGTTTGGCTTGCATGATAATAATATTATGGCTAATGTCCACTAGTCACTGGTTTTGTTACTAATCTTCTGTGGGTTTCAAACGTAAGAGTAGCACATTGTGGCGGCGTCTAAGCTTGATGTCCTTTATTGTTATGGAATTTCTTTTCATTGCTTTACATCTTTTTTTCTTTTTTTTTTTCCTTCTCCCTTTCTGGAAGATCATTAATGGCAAGAGCAAATCAAAGAACTGAATTCATCTTCAAATGCCATTTTCCTTTAAATACCATTGCTAGGAAAATATTAGTTTGCTTTATTGCATTTAAAAGTATTGGTACCCTGTTATTTCTAGAGCAGATATTGAAACAGTGGAAACTTAAACTAATTTAAAAAATGCATGAAATTTATCCAAAGTGTGTAATACTGACTAGTTTAAGTGGTAATTTATCCTTGCCATTTGGTAACTAGATTCTGGAACTATAATTTGTTAAGTGAGTGATCCTATAGCCGTACTTAATTTAGTAAGCTGCGAGCAAGCAGAATTTTTATGGTCTCACGGTTACCCGTCTTCATCTTCTTTACAATTTTTCTCCTTTCAAAATTTCCTTTCTAAGTGGAATCTTCTTAGTTTTCTATTTGTGTTGGTGTTGCGTAGATCATAGAAAAAAAGTGAGCACACCAGAAACTATACAGCTTGAGAAGCCAAAATTCATGCTTCATCCGAACAAAAGGTTCTGCAACAATGAAGGTGTTAGAGCAAATGAACTCAGTCCTACCTCACCCTCTCTAAAAGGCATAGCTCCTCCAAATTTTGTGTGTCTACTTCTCTTTTCATCCAGATGTGTTCTTTCTTAAGTTTATTCTCATCCAGGGGCCGCAGAAAATGATTGGTTTGAGGAGCCCTCGGGGCAGAACCAAGACGATGAATTGGCAAGGTTTCTCTTAGAGCAGTTAGAAAAAATTCCTCTGATACCATTGCTCTACCATTAATATTTTATTTTTTATTGAGTTCTGTTTCACTTGACAATTTTCAGGGCTGTCACGCTGTTTGCTTTGGCTTTAGAAAACTTCAAAAGGAAAATGGATTCAGCTGCTAGAAAGAAGTCCTCAGAAATATTAATGTCGATGTCTGAGGAGATAAAATTGAAGCTGCAGAATACTAAGTCCCAAATTGAATCTGATGTGTATGTATTTCAAACCAACAGTTTTTTTATCCCATATATTGATTAATTGGATGTAATCTTGATGATTTTCAGAGAGAAGTTAACTAATCTCAGTAAGTCAAAGAGGAAACGCCAGGAAACAAGGTTCCAAGGTAACAATTGTCCATCAACTGATATTTGCGGTATCTGCTTCTATAATTCATAGGTTTGAACTAATCATTAAAGGTGGCATTGTCTCATTAGAGATAAATTTTTTCTGGATGGGGTCATCTTCAAATGGGAGTTGGTTATTTTAGCACCTTTTGACTATAATCTGCTTTATTCAAATGAAAGAAATCATCTTGCTTTTACAAAGCATGATGATGACCTAACTCATTCTGAAAAACTTAAAGACTTGAAAACGATGTATACCTTTAACAGAAAGCAGAATGATGCCCCAATTGATTCTTATATTCTATCTTCGTAACCTACTTCTTAGGAGTTTAAGTTGATGATGTCTCTTTTCTTTTTTCTTTTTTGGCAGAGCAACAAGAACAATTGAAGTTGATACATGAGAAGTTTAAGGAGGATATCAATCACCATCTTTTGGACTGTAGAAGCACTCTTGAAGCATTGGAAGCTCACCAGATTGAGTTGAAAGGAACCTTGAAGAAGCAAAGTATGACAACTTTAGTTATTTTGGCCATACTGCTTATTTATGATTAGGCATTATTGTTGTGTGCGTGGTATATTCTCACTTTTAGCTAAAGCTTAAAAAGTGATGTGGGAAGGAAAAAATCAGTCTTGCACGGTTACATTATTTTCTCCACTATGACACACCTGCTTTCATTGTCACTTAATTTGTGGTGATCATAATAAAGCTAGTCTGTAAAGCAGACATGGCATAAAATTTGTTTAGAATGCACCCTGGGCATCTCTAGAATAATGGTAGGCAGACTGGATGTTACATGGTCCAGGGTTTTTCATCCAGGCTTGCCATCATTTTATCTGAGGAAATCAGGCAGGCCTAAATCTAAATTCACATAATTGATTGGCAAAACACCAGGATGTTAGATTCATACTGCACACCTAATCTAGACTAGCAGTTGCACAAGACTCTATCTTCCTTGTTTATTATAAATTCATTGATATTTATTGGGGTCCTTGTAAATTTGAAAGTAGTTACACTGAGGCAATAAAATTGTTGACTAGGATGCAGATTGGATTATGGAAGTGAATATAAACTAAATTTGATGTATGGCATGTTAGACAAATTTTATGCATTTATGAAGCTGGAATAATTGGTTAATCATTTACTGAGCTTTATATGTTGACTTGTACATGCAGAAGCATCGCACCAAAAGCTACTCATGCAAGCAGAAGAAGCAGTTAAGAACCAACTCAATGATGCCCAAAGACAAATTGCGGATGTTCAAAAGGCAAGTTTCCTCTTTAAGTTTCTATAACCTTAATATAAGGCTAATTTTCACTGGTTTAGGCAGAATACAAACCAGGTAGTATGCTGGTATTCTATTCATTAGCAAATATATCCATAACCTTGCTCCCCTTGAACCTCTGGACTGACCCCTTGATGTTCACTCATGCATTCAAGTTTGACTTGTTATATAGACCCTAATTCTGATATATGACATACATACATTTATCCTCCTGTATCTACTGCAGTCGGCAAGGGGAAAGATGCTTCAGCTGAAACGTGTACTAGCCGAGTTTTTGAAAGAAGATATATGACATGATACACACTACTACTAGCAAGACGGTAACTTACCCAGATTAAATACTAAACAGAGATCCAAACTCTCATGTTTGACCTTGTAAAGCCTCTCTGAATTATGCACCTTCTGAAATTACCCTTTTTTTATCATTAATCTTTCAACTGTAGAGATATACGTAGCTTATTATTCTAGTAGTGGTCTGCAGCAAAAGGGTTTTGTCTGGATTTTGGCTTAAGCACCATCTGGCACCTGCTGTTTGGATGGAGGTAAAATGAAAATGAAAATCCGGTATACCATGTTAAGTTTCTTTCGCATTTAATTGAATGGTTGATTGGTGTTAGAGTTACCCCCTTTTTTCCCCTTATGATTTGTTGTGTTTTGTGGTTTATGAGTATATCCTTATGGCCAAGTAATTTTCTATTTTTCTCCAAAGGGTTTGGGTGAATGGCTGTCGTTTTGCTTGATTGATATACTGGTGCCCTGAAAACCGCAAAAAAGAAAAAAAAAGAAAAAAAAAAGAAAAAAAAGTAAAAGAAAAAGAAAGTACAAAGACAACAAAACATCAGGCACGTGAATCACCAGAGATCACGTGAAGAGCACGGTTTTTTGGTCCAGTACTTTTTTGACATTGAACTTAAGTTCGATGATGGTGACTGAAGAACTAGTGTTATAGGCTAGGCGTCATATCACCATTAGTTGTAGTATTTGGTAATTGAGTTTTGGGGACCAACGTTCCACGTGGGTTTTAATTAGATTCCAAAATGCATTATGACCTGATCTGACCTACAATACAAGCTCCTGCCGCCCATCACGTTACAGCGTGGTGGACCTGATGGTAAGAGATTTTAAGGGTTCAGTACTTGATCCTCTCGATTTGAAATCATAAAATGGACTCATTTTCACCCTCTTTTCATAATAGCATCAATTGTCTTCTTTTTACACTAATTTTGAGGTCAGAATCATTTCTTCTTTTGAACGTATTAAATTGGCAGTAGAATATGTTCTTAGAATTAAGCACGTGAAAATTGACTTTCAAGATATTTTTTTTTGAACGTTGGATAAAATTTAAATTTTATATCTTAAGTTTAATATGAAAAATTTTATAAAGGGGTAATAATAATTAAATTATAAAGATATTTTTTATAATAAATAATTTTTTTAAAATTTATATTTTAAAAATATAAATTAAGAATTTAAAAAATAACTTTCAAGATATTTTTTTTTGAACGTTGGATAAAATTTAAATTTTATATCTTAAGTTTAATATGAAAAATTTTATAAAGGGGTAATAATAATTA